TGAATTAAAATATGTTTCTTGAGGAGGAAATCCTAACGTGAATTTTTAAGAGGGACTTATTTTATTCACAGAGCTAGAGCTCCAAGAAAAATCATTCCATTAGGATATTGCTACGGATAAAAAAATCAGAAACTGGCCAACCTCACGATTGCAATGATGATTGACGACTGTAATTACTGACTACGGCTAAACTGGCAGTAAAATTCATTACATTTTGACATCTCACGCTCTCTTTCATCATGGCTTTTCCTACAGTAACAATGAAATATTGTACAAGTCGTGATGTTGAACTTTCATACACTAGTAAAATTTTTTGTAACAACGACCAGTGTTCATTTCGGTGCTTTAAACATTGAAATTTAGACTTCCCTCAGCAAATTCTTTGACGCCTTTTTTCCACATTTTATATAACACGGTAGAAGCTGCGGATGGAAAGACTCGCCAAGTACCCAATCCAGAATATCTAGAAATGCTGTATCAATGCTGAAATCAGCAGGGGGAGCAAGAATAACTTTTGCAGTATTAGTGTTGAGAGTGAAGTCTTGCAGCATCCCCTAGTCGTCAAAACGCTGTGTGAACACCCCTTGTTTGCCTCGATGCACATTTCTGGCAGAAACATTTGATACAGGATTTCGCAATGCTCGTTGTATCCTTTTTTCAAGATGTATTTTTTTTTCGTTGTATCCATTGTTGCCTTTCACTGTGACCGATATTTGGGATGCCTGATCTGGTAGCAAACTCACTAGGAGTTTTATTAGCTTCTCAAATTGACGAGAAATTGCGTGGTTTGGACCAATAGCAATGTGATCAGTCAGAAAATCCAGTAGATGATCTTAAAGCACGCGGAGAATTTAAGTCCAAGCTTGGACCTTCTGCCCGACCGTTCTATGCCCTTATCTGCTTTGCCATCTCCATGTAGATATTCCACCCCGATTCGGATGCGGGAGACAAGTCCCCTCCGAGTAATGCATGTAGAAACATTGTATCCATGTCAGCATATGCATCATGACCTTGCTCAAGCAGACTTCGGATAAAGCTGTTTAAGATAACACCGTCTGTCCCTAGATTCGCTTCCGCGTTGCTTCTAGAATCCTTCAAGGCAAATATTTGTGTCATCCACATCTCCTTGGGAGAGTGCCACTTTACATCGTTTAGCACCTGCTCGTTGTTTATGCATGTGATGCCAATGGTGGTGGTGGNCCCATATCTTGTCTGGTGTATCAGTTTGTCTTCTAGGGACAAAGAAACTAGGCAATAGTTGTCGGAGCAGTTCGATTATTTCCGTTGGGTTTTTCGTGTCAAGCAAATGAAGTTATTTCGTGAGCCAAAACATGGAAATGTGTTGCAGAGTTATCCTGGACAATGTCATCATACAGAGAAAATCCATCTCTCAATTCTCTCATCTCCAACATAGAAATTATATATCGCCTGTCGTGAAGGTCCCATTCCAAGCAGGCATGTTTTTATTTGCTTCCCCTTTCTGTACAGTCAAAGCCATACCTAGTAAAAAATCTTCTTTCTCACCATGAGAAAAATGAAAGTTGCGTGCAATGCCCATGACACTCTCTTTCTGTTACTGTAGTCTTTTGCCAATTTCTCTGGATCACCAATCGGAGTTTCGGGCATCTGGGCTGTTACCGGTACGTCTCTGCAAGGACTTGGTGCTTTTCCTCTCTGCGCCTCGTTTTCTGATGGGATGTGGTACTGCATTGTTTCAACTTGGACTCTGTAGCTGTCAAGAATGGCTGGATTATGCTCTATTTCTGCAGGCAGGGATTGTTGTCAGGGAGTTCTCTTGCGAGTTGCTCACCATCACATGCTTCTCCTGTCCGGAGGTTGTCACCAGCTGCTCTTGATGGCTGATCAGTCTCTTTTCTACCCTGCTGTTCTTGTTCGGTTAGTATATTAGACGCAGTGTAATTTTCGGCTGGTCTATCATCCATAGGCCTGTATCGTGGTCGCTATTAAAGTCTCTATCTGCTGGCACATTTAAAAATGAAAGACGACGTATACATCTTGATTTTACAGCATTTCTACTTTGTTTAACGTCTTCTGACTCTGCAACGCTGCAATCGTTCCGGAGGGAATTACCTCCAAACAATAAAGTTAGAAAGGCTGTCAGCAAAACTGCTCGTCTTTGGCGTTCTCCTTGATTAAATAAAAATGTTCCCTTGCAACAAGTCCACGATTCTCAACCAAAGTGTAAAATGGATTCCAACCTCTTTTGCGTCATCTTTGATCTTGACCAAGGATCCAGCAGTTACTGACTCTGAACTCCTCTGTGGCTGGTTAGGAGTACATACTTGCGGTCTGACAGGGTTTCTGCACAAGACCCGTTGTGCCTGGGGTGTTTGTGTTGAGCTGTTAATTAAGGTACCAACTTCTACGACAGTGTGATTGTAATGACCCCCTGAGACATCTTTCATGGCTTCAGATGTCTCAGTGTTGTATTTACAAGTTTAAAAGGAAAATCTCGAACGAGTGTTTTCTACTTGCTACTTTTCATTTCTAGCTGAAAATAACAAGCTTTTTTTTTATAAAACTCAACAGTATTTCCAAAACAATTTGAATGATGTGCCACCTCTTCTCCTTAGCTGTGTCATTCTTCTCGAAGTGACTTCTCAAAACTCACCAGTTACAATGAACCATCCACACATGGCTCTGGTTCTCCTTAATTAGGAGTGACAGCTGGCCCAATGAAGTAAAAAAGGGGAGTAGGACAAGAGCATAAAGATCTGGGCACAAGCTTATATTGCAAAGTCACAGACTGAATGCCACCTAAAACAGTGCCTGATGTTTACAGTAAGTCTACTAAAGTTCATTTAAGCTACACTGTCAAAGACACCAAAATAAACAGTAAACTGAATGTGGACAGTTAAACCTTTTGAAACATAAAGTAGAAGTGACAGATAATCAGCTGTACTTTCTTCAGTTGAAGCAATTTGACATCACCATGGATGGGTTTAAGCAGGTATTTGAAGGTTTCTAGGACATGAATTTTTATCAGATCACCAGGTTATATCATACATTTTTAATATCCTTGAAAAAATTTTCAATTTGCACCTCACGATCCCTTAAGATCCATTGCCGGCTGAGTTTGGTTGCTCGGTGAACTAGCAGCAGGTATTACATGTAGGTCACTGTAAATACCATCACCATCACTGCACCCCTGAAACCGATGACAAACACCAACTAAATTAACTACTATATGAAAAGAGTCCGACAGTACTTGAGTAATAAACTGACAGTGGACTTACATGTAAATGCAACTTAAACAAATTTGCTCCACTCCAGAGCCATTTTTGAAACTTTTCAGAATCACTATTCAGTGGCTGATAGGTACATGGGAAAGGCATGAAGCTCCTGGCTGATGGCTTCCAAAGGTGCATGAGCAATTCATAACAACATCCAAACCATCTAGATGAGGCCCTCCACTCTGTTTTCTGTGACTAGATCGAATACATATGAGATCTTCAGTGCTCAAACCATATGAGAAAATTCCAAACCTGGGCCTTTGTATAACAGCTTTGTACAGACAGAGTTTCTTTAGGTCATACCCCTGCGATTGTGATTCTGAAGTTCCTGTGAAACTGCAGCTGGATATAAAAATCGAGATTTGGAAGACCCGAGTTTGTTCAGAGTACCGGTGTAAACATTTCTACTCAAGTATCACGACAAATCTAGCAACATTTCATTGGTCACTTTCCCATGGCCCCTCAAATATGCCACAATATTGGGTTTTGTAAAGGGGCAACTGTTGCACGTACAACAGTAGTGAAGCGCGATAGTTATCATCATGGTTATTGCCATATCGGTGCAGGCCACTGATCATTACCATTGACAGCATTACCACGCTCTCTGGATTTGCCTGTACAGGCCTTACCAAAAAGTATTGCTTTAAAAATAACTGGATTAGACAATTTAAGCATACTGGCCCATCAAATCTATATGTACATATAAAAACTGCCAGGAATATGTTCTGTTTCAATTAAATAGCATCACTCACGTTCAACTTTCCTCTGGTGGCAGCTGTTGCTAGGTCTACTGTAGTCCAGATTCCTGCTGTTGTTCATCATTTCTCTCCGAACCCTGTGCACAAACTTCTTACACGCAGACATACACCCACCTCATACACATAAGTGCATTTAAATGCACTTGTACACTGTAAATGGAATGTCACGCGCACACCGCAAAACGGGGGAGGGTTTGTAACATCTTGCAATCTTTCACAGCTATACACAGTGCAGTGCATATCGTATATACATGTACTGTATATCCAGACATACACACAGAATGTCGCATAATGAACAGAAGATGCCATCCCCAACATCTGAAAATGGTCAACCAAAATGCAGAGCAAGTGTGGCCACTGGCTGGCATAATGCATGTGCATTGTGATTAACACAAACGGCATGAACAATGTCGTCGGGAGGAAATAAGAGATTTGTGGGAACAAAATTTCAGACTTTGCGAAAAATACTTGGTCTCATGGTCTGAAACTCCGTACGACCGTTTTCAAGAGCTTTAGGTACCTAACAGTTGCTCTCAAGGGAAAATTTGATTGAAAAAGCGGAGTTGGCATAACTGGATCACCACCACAAAAGCTGGATTCAGAAAACACATAGCATTGTCATCCATGAAAATAACAACACCTCTAAGTCACTTAGAGTAGTGACTTAGAGTTCTTGAAATAGATAGAATCAAGCAGCAGGACTGCCAAAGTGTATTTCTGAGGGTCTGTTTGTTTCACATGGATCTGAATTTCAATCAGTGATCCTAAAGCTGGTTCACACCATGCATTAGGTGACTTTTGGTGTCTGTAAACCAACGATAGATCACTGATCGTGATCCAGATCTGTGTGAAACAACACAGTCTACAAGTATTGCCTACTGGACAAAACAGGGCCCTAATCATGAGAAGGGGCCTCAAGACTGTTTCGAGGGGGTGATCATCTCTGGAGAGAAATACCTTAAACAATCATCAGTTAAGCTACAGAAAATTAAAAGGAACACGGGATGAGGAAGTCCTTTAATGTGTCTTGATCAGGGAACATGTATTTCCAGACTTTTTTGTAAAGGGGGGACGACAACTGTCGCCTTCTTTTGCGGGTATTTCCAAAACTACAGTGTGGTGCTGCATGTTATTTGGAGACACACAGCTACAGGAAGCCTAACTCCCATCACTCCAAAAGAACAAAACTTATATAGGTCAGTCTTGCTGGTTACGTCTATGTGGAGCACAGTATGTGTTCTAACAGTTGTCTTGCCAGGTGAAACAAGAATTACCCAGCCCAGTGGAGAATTTCTCAGGACATACATGTACGTGTTACCCTGAGTACGTTTAATGTCAACATGTCTGGTATTATTTCTGTTGTAATGTCATTCAGTATTGGGTTTTGTTTGTATCTACAACTGTTACCTGTCACTGCCATTCTGACTATCAGGTTTGATAATTAGGTCACCAGGGGCGTGTTTTGGCAACCCCTAACCAGAAACACAGATGTGAAGTTGAAAAAATAACCAGGAATATTTTAAGGGTGGCCCACCAAAACAGAGAACTACAAACGGTTACATCATCTGACAGAGGCAAATGCAAGGAAATGAATGACACTGTGGATGAACATCATTGACACTCAATATTCTGCATGTTTCTCATCAATGCTGCTCTCTCTTCACGTATGTTCTAGAAGGAGTATCTCTTTGAGTAGCTGCATGTAACAACAAATTTTGAAAGATATACTTCACTTATTCACTCTGTTTGTATTCCATCATATTGAACTGGCACTGAACCAACAACAACATTTGGTTCTCGTTCGCTCGGAACAATGACATCACAGAGGCTTAACCAAGTTGGGAAAATGCTTAACTAATGACCAAAGCTAAAATATGTTCATGGTTTGGGTCATCAAAACATGCCCCAGTATGTAGATCTTAAGAATACCAAAAAAAAAGAAAAAAAGAAGATGTAAATGTACAACAGCATTTTTAAGGCAACATCTGATTATCATAACAATGCTAACCTAAGAATATAATCCTGTGATTTGACAGTATTTACAGTGGTCACAAACTCTGATCACCTGGATGTACATGTTGGATAAGATCCGTTCTTCCTTCCAATTGCCAGGATGTTAGCAGTTTTACCCATGAGGTATCAGTGTGGACAATTTCCAAAATCAAATGCCATAATAAAAATACACAGGGCATGCCACTGCAGCCATATGTATCGCACTAATGAATGCGCCCCCAGGCATTTGTACAGGTTGTACACGAAGTGTCGTGCATCTTTGGTCACTTGGATGTTTGACTCGCAAAACTGCATGCAAAATGCACAAGTGCAATGCTGCTTAAAAGAGTGGCATCTCCTCAGATAAATCTACATGTACATTTGTCTGATCTATACTGGGATACATGTACATCATCGTTAACACAGCCAACCACAAAAACAGTTCACTGGATAAAATGCAGCAGAAATTGTTCTGGTAAAGATCAATTAATGTGGCCTGTATAATAGGCTGTATCAAACTGGGGAGAATTAAGCATGTTCTATAATAAAGATATCAGGCTGATTTGAAAAACTTAAATATCTGTCATCTAATTGGGACAGTACATGTATGTTGTCAATCACATGCCATTGAATTAAACAGTGCAGCTCTGCCACAAAAAAATTCTCTAATCCACAGTGTGTGGCATGAGAACAGTATGTACAACACACATTGACAAAACTCAACCAGGAGCCGGGTCATTTCATGAGGTTGGGGCACATGTGACGGTGTCCTTGTTACATGGGTAACTTTTACTACCTGTCCTGACCTGTAGAATCATTTACAATGTAAAAATAACACACACCTCTGTATTCAGCCTTGCAAGATGTATAATTTTGAATCCACATGCACGGAGTAGCATGTAGCTGTTCATTTTTACGGAACCCACGTAACAATGGACACCATCACAAATTGTGCCCCAACCTCATGGAATGACCCAGCCACTCTATGACCACTACCTACATATACCATTGGATCAAGGGGTCCAACAGAGACCATCCCTTCCCTCCCCAAAATGGGAATCTCATGGTATTTTTATCATAAATTAAAAAGGTAGATTTGGGGATTGTTTCATTTCCCTTCTTTCCCGAAGCATGTAAAGCTTTAGCCATGAAAAGATCATTTTTTTACATTGAGAAATTTCAGTTTGAAACCCCTCCCAACAAATATGGCACCAGATTTGGACATGCCAGCATCATGTAGTTTTACATGTCCCCCCCATCACCAGCTGGTGATCTAAAAAAGTCAGCAATGGTTTCGAAGGAAAACTTCCTGTTTGATTCCAGCTGTAACCAGCTACTTTGAGACTTCTAGCTACTTTTCAACTACCCGCTACATTTCAACCAGCAACTTTTCCAATAAGTGCAGGCATTTATTCAGACAAAGATTACGTCAGGAATTCATTTAAAGCATGGTACAAACATGATGGCAAATGTTTTACATACGTGCAGTGGAAGAAACCATTTCAGAAAGTGGAAGATGAAATGGTCTATTCCACAAGGTTTTATGGACTTTTCCATCATCTGTCACTTTCTGAAATTATTCTTTTCATTGCACTGGCAAGCATTACAATGCATTATCCGTATATTACAAATGTCTACATGGGCAATGTATGCTGCATTTTCATGCTGTGTTTGTTACATGTATGTAGTAATTGCTTTATAATAACCCAGCTCAGATCATACTAAGGACTTGAACAGAGATCTGTGTACTACCTCACATGAATGGTTCTCTGTATTCTAAAAGGCAAACATGGGCATTTTTTATTATACCAAGTGTGTGCCAGTTAAACTTTTTAATCGCATATTCAGTACACTTAAACTCACATTACCAAAAATTAGCTGGAACCTCCAATTATCAATTGTAACAAGCAGAGCATGCAACACAGACACCAGGTAAAAGGAACCTGCAGAGGTAAGCAATGTTTGCCACATCTTGAACACCCAAACAGTGAGATAATTAACAAAGCAATGTTACACTCCCTTTTGCAGGCAAAAGGAGTGTAACATTATTCAGTTGAAAACAATTTCCATGCAACGCTGAGTATATAGCATGTGTGCTGATGTATAACAGGTTCGGAACTGTGGAAAGCTGGCAACAATATATCGCCGCTAGCCCCCTTTTTAGGAAACCCCCTTTTACCATGTTTTATGTTACATGCAGTCCACAGTGGTAAGGCCTCTGGTATGTGCACAATGTATCTAAACTTCCACTTCCTCCATAGGCTTACTGTATTCCTTTAAAGTATTCCTTTCTCTGCATCCACTTGAAATAGCAACATCAAAGGTCAATGTACGACAGAAAATATCAATGTTATCATTCTCGTAACATCTAGTACTCTTTTACACAGATTCGTAAGTCGGTTCCTCATTCTTTGCTACGTCATCCAATTCAACATTCTCACTGGCTACTCCTCCCTTTGCTGCATCCCCCGCCCCTCCTTCATCCTTCTCCCCACCCCCAGGCACCCACAGACCTGAGTCCACGCACCGTTTGATGTGGTATTCCGCGTCGGCTGGGTCCATGGTGCCCACGACCTTCTGAAGCATGGAAATGTCTTTGCTCTCAAAGCATTTTTGGAGTTCCTGGTGAAAAAAGAAAATGTAGGAACCTTCAAATGCCAGAACTTGAGGAGACTATACATGTACCTGGTACATGTCACTATTACTGTGAATCCCCAACCCATTTTTTAAAAAATTAAAGATTTCAACTACCACCAAGAGGCACAGTGACACACAAAGGCAACAAGGACACGGAGGTGAAACCAAACAAAAATTATAACATCAACTAACCGGGGGTAGCGACTCAAAGACCTCTACTGGATCCAGGCCACCAGGACCTAGTCTCGCCTGTCGTTCCTTTTCCATCTCCTTCAAGGCAAGAACAATATTTTAAAAATTCCACGTAACATGATCTCCTGATTGACAAGGAATACAGTACGCAAACTCCTGTGATCATTAGGGCAACTGGGTCAATTTCAACTAGGGAGCTTTTCGGAGACTTTTGGGAGAAGGAATAAAGAGAAATTCTTGTAAGATCCAGGTGAACATATCCTTTCTCAACAAATGCTGTTTACTCACTGTGTAAGATGAACCCTTACTGAATCAGTCATTTTACTTATTGAAACCGGAATCAAAAAGGCAACAGTCAACAAATCATCCTCAACTTGTAGACCTGAGTACAGAACAGGTGCAGTGCATTCCGGTGTCACATTACAGTGTTAGTAACATAATAGTTTGGCATCGCAGTTCTCCCCTCTGACTTAAAGAACCCCTTGCTAGCAAAAAAGAGACAGGTTGGTTTTCAACCAGGCTACTGCAAATGCATTTACATGTGAAGATGGTATATTCCAATCATAGACAAGGCACGTCCAAACGCACGTGAACCTGTGCACGCAAGTGCTGTGTTTCCACCATAGATGTAGGGCTGTTATCGCTAGGTAGAAACACATCATCTCTTGTTCCAGCATGGAGGAGCAGACGGTGATATTAAAAGGCAAAGCGAGTCAAACTGAACAGGTTTTTAAAATAAAACCACCTCTTCTCACCTCCTCTGCTTCCTTCATAGCCCGGTCGATCCTCTCCTGGGCCTTCTTGCGGATGCGCTCTTTGAAGAGTTCCAGCTCCTCATGGAAGGACTCCATATACTTCTTGTCAGCACTCTTGATCCTGTGGACATAGGAAAAAATAGTGGAGATTTACTGGAGATAGTGGAAAGAGATGGCACAGGAACTGTGACCGTGTGGCCATTATCGAAAAGCCCCAAAGAGACACGTCACAAGAGGGCTCTCTACCCTTTTACCATGACTTACAGTCACCCTCAATTCTCTAAAACTCAACCAAGTGAACTGAAACAACAGAACTTTTGTTTCTGACCCCAGAGGTTCAAAGAGCAATTAGGCAGTACTTACTTGAATTGATTAAGGTACTAGATATTAAAATCCAGTGAAGAAAATTAGAAGCTGTTACTGTGGGGCCATCCTGTTTGCACACAGGTGGTACACGTGTATTACATCCTTTCTCGACCTATAGAGCGTTTGCATGGCTGCCATCTTCAGAGATGCCAACAATGCAACTCGAAATAGAGTAATTTGCTACGTGCCTCAGGCAAAACTTTTTTTAACCTACGTTCATGTACATGTAAACATGTACATGAACGTAGGCTTAAAAAAAGGAACAGAAAAATTAGCATAAAAAAATGTATCAGAAAAATTAGCATACATATGTACACATACATGTTCCTGTTAGTGACGAAAATTCAACATGTTTCTTTGTTTTACTGTGCTTGTCAATGTCAGAGCCATGAGAAATGTTAATGTCGCACCAAAACGGAATGGAAATTTTCACTGCGACCTGATTTTACAATTTTACAATTGTTTTCTAGTGCATAAATGTTGAATAACAGTAGGAATACCTGACTATCATAAACAGGTGTACAATGTACTGTATATGTCAAGTCCATTCCATATCCATATCTCACACCAGCATCAGTCGAGTTGACTGCATGGTTGGCTGCTTTCCGATCAAACATATGTTGTTGATGCACTGCCCACGGGAACTAGGGGCTATTTTAGGTGCTAGATTGCACACAATCAAGCATTGACTCAAAATATGTTGCAGAGAGCAAGAGCTGTCTAGGTCTTTACTGCATTAGAAATACGCAATATACTGTAAGTACTGTAGCCATAGCTCTGTAAGTCCATTTCCGACACTGCTACAGATAGATTGATAAGATTACCCGGTACATGTACCGTTTTGGGCACTAAAATTGCACAACTTCTAGACTGACACCAAACTACGTATTTACGGTACATGTTATATGAAGTAATATGAGTCAAGACACATGTTTTTATACTTTATTCACAAAATTCCCCTGATATGAAAATATTGTAAAACATGACATAGAGATCCTAAAACCTTAATTGGAGAAAAATTGTAAAAATTACGCCTAAATCGTAAATGTTGGCATTTCTGCATCTTGCAAGCCAGTATTTTTGTTCAACAGGGTATGCATAAAGCTGGTTTCCCTAGGGAACAAAAGAACTGCCCTGCAAGATGGTTACTGGGCAAAGCCTCTATAGGGTGTCTTGAATTACTAAAGTGCACGCACTCAAGAAAAGACATGCGCATGAATACAATAGCCCCAAATCTGATGGGAAACCGCTACACCTACTGATGAAGCTAAATTGCTACCAGGATAAAATTTTGATCCTACAGCGCCAACGCCAAGTCTTGTCCTGCAAGCCATTCTACTGCAGAGATGACCTGACCAGGATCGATCTCAACGAAAAGAGACAGTGGTCTGTGTATGCTGCTAAAGCCTACCAAGAAGGCATCAAGTACCGGTTTGTGGCTGGTAAGTGGAAAGGTAAAGGTGGCTCTCTAGTTCACTTTTACAACCAAGCAACCAAACCGATCATCAGCATCCCCGCCTACATGTATGTTTCCTTTGCTTCTGCTAGTCAACGCCTCAACATTGACATTTGCAATTACTTTATTTACCTCCATGACTCACCTTTCAGTTTTACCTGCTTTGGTGATCACTCTTGTTTATTTTGTTCGCTTACCTTGCTGATTACGTTCATTTAGTCGTTACCCTGTTTTACTCTAGGTCTTTTATAAAAACACTTCATCTCTCTTTTTCTTGCTGTACATAACGGTACATTTTTGTTCTGTTAAACCTCGTTTATTGTCTCCTACTTAATTGTTGTTTTCCCTTTACATAGTTTTTGTCTTTATTTTCAATTCTTTAATAAAGTCTTATGTTACATAACTTCCAAGATTTGCTTGATAATGTTGACGACAACGTATGCTTAAATATACATGTACACAGGGATGAGTTCAACAGCTTAAACACTCATCAAGAAGGTTCTTTTTCAATTTTTTTAACCTGAATTCCAGGAGCCTCTGCAGATATTTTGATACGATGTGCAGGACTTTCTTTCTACACTCTCTTGTAACTTCACCATCTGTGGGTTCACAGAATGTGGTTCTGAGAAACTCCTCCTCTGTATGTTCACATGATTAATTACAACTTGATTCATTCTTCCCGTTGTTCTTAAAAACTCGGAGGGGGAGCAGCCATGTTCATTCTAAATCTCTGAATTTCCATGTCCGTGATGATCTGATGCAAATTTCAGATGATTATGAATGTGTGTGAAATTGAACATGACCATGCCTGTAATTTAATCATAGGAAATGTCTACAGGGCTCCTAGTATTCAATCTGAAAATTCCTTATATCAGTTTGATTTGTGTCAGAATGCCATTTTAAAAGAGAGGAAGCTGTGCTATTTGATGGATGATTTTAATCTTGACGTATTGAAATGCACTGACCATCGACCTACAGACGACTTTGTGACTGTCTTTTATTAATATGGCTTTCCCCTTTGATTGACCAGCCCACTTGTATCACACCAATTAGTAGCACACTTATTGACAACATCCTTACTAACAATGATTCTATTATCTCTGCAGGTATTCTTACTGCTGACATCTCAGATTAGTTGCCTTTATTTCATATTACTCCCTCTGTTCTATCTTTGAAGCAGAATCCAGAGACCTAAACAACAATGGATATAAAAAGTAATACCATTTGCTTGTTTACTCTTGATATCGAAGCTATGGATTGGAGTGAAGTTTTCGACAGTCAGCAAGCTGATTCTGCTTATGATACTTTTCTCTCTCTCTTTACAAATACATGTAGTTACAATCTTCCTTTTCCTCTCATTTCCAAAAGTACTGGCAAGATTAAGACCAAAAACCCCGGGATTACTCCAGGTATTGCCAACTCCTGCTGCCGCAAAAACGAATTATATCAATGTTTCCTTCGAAATCTATCAGATGAAAATAAGCGGCTTTACAACAATTACCGGAACTGCCTGACTTCCATTATCCGACGTGCCAAGAAATCCCATTTTGCCAAGAAGCTTGACAAATGTAAAAATTACATAAAAAGCACCTGGTGTGAAATCAATAAGATCCTTGGAAAAGGGAGAAAGGTCTCAACCCCGGAAAATTATTCCATTGGTAATCAAATGGTCTCTAACCCAGAGATTATCGCTAATTCTTTAAATTCCTATTTTACTAACATTGGCTATTCTCTCTCTAGTAAATATTTCATCTACATTTCATGGATTATCTTCACAATGCTAACCCTTCTTCTCTTTACTTGTTACCTACCAGCTGTTGTGAAGTGATTGAGATTGGAAAAAGTTTGAATAGTGGTACCAGTCCTGGTTTTAACAACATTCGCTCATTGGTTGCTAAATCTGTCAATTCTTTATTTCCGCTCCTCTGACTAGACTTTAGTTCTGACTTATGCTTTTCTACCTACACTAATCTCTCGATTTATATATTTGTACTGTTATTATTTACTTTTCCTGATCTTCACCAATATGGAAATAAACATCATATCGATACCTGATTGGCCCTCAGGAATGGCCCTTCCTAAAATGTTGGAGAGATTTCAGGACAATAGAATACCCCATAAACATCCAGACAACAGTTTGAGTACAGAAGTGGCCAAAGCATATTTAAGCATTCATATTTGGCAGATTTCCCAATTTTTAACAATTTTGGTATCACTGAAGAAAGATTCACACAAAAAATTGAATTCAAATGAACCTTTCATATGAAAACCAGGCATTACAATGCCACTGATATGTCTAAAATCCCCAAACGGTGACTGTTTATAATGGCATTTTTAAAGTGCTGAAAAGAATATAGTTACATGTAGCCTTAGATCCTTAACTATCTCCTGTTGGGTGCTTTTAAAAATGCAGTGCCTACATATGGGCAATTTTCAAGATTTTCCGTTTTCCAAAATTCTTCAAAAATTCATAATTTCATTTAATGGACATTTACACCCACACAAATGACTGTCTGGCAGCTACTCTAATCTGACATGCAACCTCCACTGAAGCCGAGTATTTCAGCCAGGCCTGCCACACTGTAAAAAGAGCCCAGAATTGTGAGGTGTTACGCAATTTCCTTTGTTCCCAGTGAATGCTAGTGGCATCTTTTCAAATGCGGCTTGATTAGCGTGCAGTATCTGTATCACTCATCGATGGGGAGCTTGAGCACTTTGTCTACAGTGCTAATCAGCGGGAGTGCTACGCCGAAAACAGCGGTGTACTGTTTCAAAACAAAGCGGATGGGTCATTCTATAAATTTGTGGTCCAATTTTTTGTGCGTCCCTCTCACATCTTTCCAAGAAAGATTAAGCAAAGCAAATTACCTGCCAAACAAATAAAAGCAGTTTAAGGTCAATTTCACCAACATTTCCATGTCGAATTACACAAGTCAAGTGTAACAGCAACACAAAAACTGTCACAATTTTGGACCCGAATTTGATAAAATGACCCAAAGGCTTTTTGCCTTCGAAACTGATACCCTAAGTGCACTGAAACACACTACCGGTAATTATAGTCTGTTGCCCCAGAGCCCCAGACGGGCAAGGAGTGCATAGCCAGGGCCAACTCACTTTTGGAAGAAGGGCCGGATGCAGGCCCTTGGGTCCTGCTTCAGGCTCCTAGCCAGCTCCAACATGAACTGCATGACTATGGTCTGGTGGGCAACCTGCTCCATTAACCCTTCTTTCTGCAAAGAGCACAGACAACACATGATGTATTACCAATCTTATGGTCATTCAGATAAGTTAGCTTCAACTGGGATAAGTAATGTACAATGTGACACTAGATCCACTGGCTCAGAACATCATTTTTTTTTCACAATTCACACCTTAACAAGTGCTTTAGTTTTTAATTTACAACGTACCTCACACGCATTTCAGTAACTGCTTTCAACTTACAACTGCAGATTTTCAGACTAGCTTCGCATATTGTTATCAAAATCCTTTTTATATTTCTTTTCTAATGGTAAGTGAATTGTACGGGATTGACTGCTTCAAACGACTGATGTACCAGATTTGAATGTTGCTAAACAAATGCAATTGTACTTGGAGCCCTATCATACACTTGTCATTACTTACATACAAAACAAATTTTGGCTGAATGGCAGGTGTCCAAAAAAAGACTGAAAAGAACTGCCAAGTTCATGGGATCCTCTCGGTGGCACTCCTATTATTCCCGACAGGAGATATTCCTAGAGAAATATTAAGTATCACTGCAACTTTTGAGATACTTCCCAAGGTTGTGTCAGAATTAACTGGCTGCAGCTAACAACAACACACAACTCTATGGGAAAAATAAAAAGCCATCTGCCAGTAGTTTACATGTACATAGGAATGTGTGTCATTTCCAGCCACAACCAATACATTTGGGTGCGGTATTTACAGAAACAAATCCAGGGGGAGCAATGGTGCACTTACCTTCTCAACCATGAGGTCGATGGCCCAGATGACCAGGTAGTTAGCCGTCTCCTCGCAGACCAGTTCGGTGTGCTCCAGCAGGAAGTCGCCTGTATCGTCCCACCGCCGGTACATGCCATACGTCTTGATGTCTTTCTCATGCTTCTGGACGAACCGGGCCTGTTTCTTGTCCAGCTCCTCCTCCGTCATCTCCTCTTCCTTTGGCTTGTACTTGTTGATGCGCGTGCTGCTAAAGCCGTCGTGGCTCAAGGTGTCCACGTTCCACGGCGTGAGCTGAGGTAGACAAGTAAAAACCATTATCTCTTCTCAATCACTTGGCCACAGTTTTATTTCATAACCACTTGTACCCTGATACAGTATTATTCTGCTCAAAATATCCAAACATCCTGACCTTTTGAAATGACAAGACACCACAGCCACTTTTTCATGACTAAGTGAGGCATGAAACATGTTGATGTTTGAGAGTCAGTTGTACAATACAGACCACAACATTTCTTCCATAATGCCTTCACATTTTTGCTTTTCAGTTTGTGCTCTCTACGAAGGGGGTTCAGAAAAAATAAATCTTGGTAAGGTTGCTAAAATGCAGGGTCATGCTGTAAAAAACCCACTGGGACATTTATTCTGATGTAGCTTTCAAGGGACATCAAACCCCCAAGAGAGGAGTTTCTGGAGGCATCAATCTTTCAAAAAAGGCCTGGATCTGCTAAATATTACATTCTGTGGGATCTACGCTTGAATGGGTTGCAAACACGGCTGCTTATAGTAGGCAAGTTAAATTTGGTGTGATCTGGGCTAAAATGAGTTGAAAGTAGGCCTGCCTCTGAAAGACATCAGATTGTGTAATCTGAGCTACAACTGGCTGAAAGCAAGCCTACAGTACTTCAGACAGACATCAAACTGTTCAATCTGGCAACAATGGGTTAAGGGCAGGCCTGCCTCTAACAGACATCAGATTGTGTGATATGGACTA